ATAATAATAATAATAATAATAATAATAATAATAATAATAATAATAATAATAATAATAATGATAATGATAAGAACACTAGTAATAACAATAATAAAAAGAAAATAAATGTCAGATGAAAAGTACTGGAACAAAAAATTGAATGTGCAGTTGAACTTCATAAATATCGCACATTTCAGATGAGCAGTGCAATTCACTGCAATCAGTCTGAATCGAGCGCATAAAATCGTTGTAACGTTATTAAATATGCGAATTTCAATGCACACAATCTATCGCTAAGTTGTAATCAGCAGGTAACTTATCCTCCACGTAGCATCTACCCGTAATCCAGCTAGATTCTACTGTCCGTATGCTCCAACTGCCAGCAGCAAATTACGTCGTAAGAAATGCAATCCAACAATTGGAGTTTGTTTGGTTGCATACGTGAACATATGGAAGCCATTCGGGTTGATCCTCAACACAACAATTCATTCCTTCACGGCCATTCAAAATTGTCATTTCGATTCAATGATATCGAAAGTTTCTAATTGAACTAGATAATAGTGTAAGACAGATGTTGAATAATTATTATACAAAGCATGCAATTGAATGTAGTTCACATACTTGGGATCGTTTGAGGAATGCTCTTGAGGGTTCGCATGGCTTGTGAGCGAATCCACTGAATAGAACGACAACGCACAGTCGGATTGAGCGAATGCCAGTGCTGAACCATCACGAGAGAATGCCAATGTGCTCATGAACGGACAAGGCGGTACTTCTTGTGAGCATAACGCCTTCTGCATTCCCATATCCCAAATCACCAACGACCCTTCTGCACTCACTGAGGCCAAATAACGACCACACGGAGATACCTTAACTTACACATTCATCTACTCATCACTTCCCTTCAACTATCACCTCAACTTTCGATCCGTAACCACCTGATGGTCAATAATCACTGTTTCAAACGAATTTTCGCAAGTAGGGTTTTTGCAAGTTCAAACGAATTTTGCAGTATTCATAATTTTCAAACAAACAGCCACGATCTCATCCAATCTGTAATTTTCCGGTTGTTACCAAAAAACTAATGAAACGAATACTTCACAGACGCTTTCTATTTTGGGACATTCTTGATGAGAAACATTATGAAATGATTGCTAGCTGGAACAGAAACAAATTTCCAGTCGATCATGTGAATTAAATCAGTAGGACTACCAATTACAGCTAACCTTCACAAATACAGTCCAGCAATGATTCGCGTACCATTTCACAAAAACATCATCGATTTAACGTGCAAAAAAAAAAACACTTTTAAAGCCACCCATCTCGATACAACAACCAAAAAGATACAAACAAACACCTGAACAAGTAATTCTCAACGAACCTTCACAGCTCTGATGGGTGCTTTATGCGACGAGAAGGTGCGCACACAACTGCCCGATAACATATCCCAAACACGTACATAACGATCATCACTGCCACCGACCACATAGTTGCAGTTCGGATGGAAGTCGATACAGGACACATCCGAGAAGGCATCTGCGAAGATACGAACTGGCTGCAGACGGTCAGTTGTCCACACGGCTGCTGTACCGTCACTGCTCGCTGTTGCAAAGTAATACGATCGAGAGCAAAACTGCGCCTGACAATTATTCTTATTGCCATTATTCTCATTTTCATTATCATTATTGTCATTATTTTTATTATTGTCATTATTCTTATTTTTATTATTGTCATTATCCTTATTTTTATTACGGTTATTATAATTATTATGATTACTGTCATTATCATTATCATTACTATTACAGTTATTGCCATCATCTGAACCACTGCTATCAATCATAAAAATCAGCCAAATAATCAACTCGTTCATATTAATTTCATTCACGAGAAACAAGCCAAAGTTAAGAATGCAAATAATGAACGCAAATGGATACAACGAATTAATAATGATGATCAATCTTTGAATCGTTTCGGCAATTGCGACTAAACTTTATATCTGAATCAATAGCACCAACAGTATTGCCACACAAAGCACCTACTTGCCATATCGGAACAGTCTGTCGGTAGACAACCACATTACTTCGTGTTGCAATATTCCAAAGACGCACTGTTGCATCTGATGACGACGAAAGAAGCAAGCGTTTATCCGGTGCTAAACTCACCGAATACACTGGCCCTGTATGACCCTATAAGAACAACAATCTGTGATCACATACAATATGCACATAACATTAACGAATCAATGCGATCGACGCAGCAATAAGCAATATTCAATTGAGCAATAAGATTATGTGTCCAAAATAAATTATGGAAATATTCACTGTACAGACCTGGAAGCTGAGCTGTGTTGAGCCTTGCGATTCATCATAGATATGATCGAAGATATCATCAGAATCCACCTCGAGTGCTTCCAACTGCTCTATTTTTTTCAGCGGACACAGCTTTTCCTCATTCAGTGATAACAACTACAAAATTTCGACAAATAAACACGATAACAATAGCACTAGTTGCAACAATTACAACAGATTAATAATAATAAGGATACCAGAACGAACGGCACCTGAACAACCGAATTGCCATATCCCAACGCTAAACATGAACCATCATCGGCGAAATCGGCCGCTGTCAGACCACCGCTCGCATTCAAAGCCGTATACAAACACACCGATGGCGGAGATTCAGCTGAGATGCCAACCTTTTTCGACGATTCTTTGTTTAGATAAGAACGACGTTCACATCTTAAAACATCAGTTCGAGTCATTCGTCGTTTTCGATTCAATTTCATATTCACATCAACATAAGTACTACTTCATGCCTCTGGCTGTACTATCAACACATCTGATTTACTAAAAGCAAACGAGTAGCGTGTCTCCAACTGTGATAACGCAATATGTTAAAATCAAAATTTATTCGATTTAGATTGATAACGAAACGTTCACAAGGTGCTCTGCAGTCAGAATGCGACTCACATTGTCGGCAGAGGAATACGATCCGGTGCAGGTCCATTCGCATCCTTTTTCTTACTGTCAGCACGATCCTTACCTTTCAAACGTTTCTTGTCAACACCCAATTGACTCGAAAAATCCTCTTTTACCGTTCCATAATACATTTTGTGTTTACGATCTGTAACATTGAAAATTTCTAAGCGTTCGCAGCGATCAAAAATAATCACAATAATGCTAATTTTTCGAATGCTCCACCGCAAAAAAATTTACCCTTCATTTCTTATTCCTATTCAATATACCATTCTTTACACTCATTCTCGTCAATATCCAAACAATATGAAAACTCATCCAACATAAAATTTCGTCACAAATACAATTCCAGTTACTTTTCAATTTTGCTTCCAACTTCTACCTCAAAATCTGCAAAACTATTCATTCCTTCAGCCTGTTCGACGAGAAAACGTGGCTAAATCAAAAATAAATTTCTCCCAACCAAAATTAACAAAGAATTCGAAACAAACAAATATGACCAATAAAATGATCGAATACCTTGCTTACTGATTTGGCCAAGAATCCCACCGAGACTTGCCTCAACAGCTGCTTTTGTTCGAGTTGCATCAAGTGCTGAATTGAAACAACTCTTGAAACATTGATTCGTTCGTTCGTTTAATCCAACAATCAACTAATCAATGCATCTCATCTCAATTCGCACAAAAAATAATTCCATCCGTTTTCCGGATTAAATAATCTAATAATTTTACACAATGAATCGAATTCAACATTTACGTTCAATGACGATATGGTCATGAATAATCTCTTTGATCGTTGGATTGCGTGCCAACAGCGGTTCGAGTTGTTTTATTGCCGATTTGGACATACGAACCACGAACTGATTCTTGCTGAAATACCGCACATTACCAAATTAACCTTCCCGCAGCCACACTATCGTTAATCTCTACTCTTTTCCCCATCGTATTCTGCATGTAAATATAATCCGTCAAGAGCCAGCTTGATGCTATTATTGCATTCGTTCCTTTAGTGACAATGAGATTATTTTGAGACATTCATCTGTTAGTGAGTGTTCACATAAATATGTAAATAAATGTTGAAATCAACACAAATGTTTCTGATGATAGTGACGATAACTAAAATAATTTTAATAACTCTGATTAATGTCATTACCAACACTACTTGAAAATCACCTCAAACTTATAACTCAAGATTAATCTGAAGCAAAAGGAACTGCTCATGAATAAGACTAACGTCAATGCGTGAACGGTCGGATGGGTGACTGCTTGACTATGCGTTGATATTCTCAACAGTGAACGAGTCGGCTCTTCGTACATTGACGGTACACTGCGCGCATATTTCTCACCGAACATTCTGGCTGTTTAACGAAATTCATAAAGAAAATAATAAGCCAAACCAAACTAACAAACGAATAAAACCAATAAACCAATTCACTTCCATAAAACGAGCTATCCACAAATTCAATTCAATCCTCCGTGTTAAAACTTCAATTTGTCATCGACAAATCATAATCTTTAGCCATTTACAATCGAAGTCCTTACCCCAAAAACAGCCAGCCCCATATTTAATTCAAATTTATGAAGTGCTAATGCGACGTAAAAAATGTTCTACTTATTTTTCCATGCTGCATCTGCACCTCATAAAATGGCACATAAAGCACCACCTTTGTTCAGAAGAATCAATGAAGGCAGCAGCTGATAGCGCCAATTGAACTTACCAACTGTAGAATGCCCTTCAAAAATGAGTTGTATATAGAGATGTGCGAATACCGGAAATAGTAACGAGGATAATTCTGCACGAAAGTTATCGAACGAAGCATCGACATGGGACAGCAATGATCCATATTCACGCATCACAGCATCGCTGAAATTCATTCGTTTCCTCGTTCATCTTCTTTGTTATCAGTACCACTTCTTATGGCCAATATAACAATAATTACATCAATACTTTCTTCTTTTTACTTGTGCAACTATCGTTATTTGCATAGTCGTAACTCACAAGGGGTCAAGGAAGGGTCACGAACTTACCCCCGCCTTTTGGGATGAGACATATATCATTTTGTAGAGCTCATGTAGCTGATCATGGATCTGCAAATAATTTTTGCTGCGGACAAGGGGGACGCGAGATGTGGGGGAAAAAGGTTTTCAGTCAGTGTATTGAAGTGAAATTCTGAATTTCGGTTTGTCGATGGCGGCTTGGCCTAGTGGATAGTGCGTTGGACGCAAGAGTGGGTGCTCGGGGGTTCGCATCCCCATGATCGAATGATTTTTTTCTCATCCATCTGTAGCATATTGAAGCTAATGTGATGTTTTGCTGCCCTCCCCACAACTTCTATCGTGGGGACATTTTATATTTTTTTGGTTTTTTTGGACTTTTTTTGATGCTGCTCTTGTTCCCGCCCA